GTAGTAGTAGTAGTAGTTAAGTAGTATTTAGTACTTAGTCGTTAATAGTGGTAGGAGTAGGAGTAGGAGTAGTGGGAGTAGTAGGAGTAGGAGTAGGAGTAGGAGTAGGAGTAGGAGTAGGAGTAGGAGTAGGAGTAGGAGTAGGAGTAGGAGTAGGAGTAGGAGTAGGAGTAGGAGGAGCAGGAGGAGTAGGGGCAGGAGTAGCAGTAGCAGTAGCAGAAGAAACCTTAAACTACTTCAACCTTAGGAACTCAAACTTCTCGTTTCAGGGTGCGGTGATCCTCGGCGATCTTGCCCCAGGTAGTGGCCCTGTGGGCATCCAGCTGGCGAACCTCCACATGGGGCGGCTCTTCGTTTCAGGGTTTCGGGCTAAGGTTTAGGGTTTCAGGTTTAGGGCTTGAACCTATTTCAAGTACTGACGAAAGACTCCACATAAGATGCACCCCAAATATTGAACAACGCCCATATGCTAGAGCAGGTCGCAAGACCTTTCCAAACAAGGTGAGGAGGGGAGCGTGTGCAGGGAAACGCAAGCGTCGGACCATGAACCAGAATCGCACAAACAGATAACAGAGAAGGTCTAAGACCCCCCCGTCAAAAACAAAACAACAAAACGCGCCCTAAACCCTAAACCCTAACAGACCGTTCATCGCATCAACCTGCCGAAACTATAAAATCTTTTTTAAACCCCAAACCAACTTGGGACCAGGTGCCATGAGAGATAGGATCTGGCTTCGCTCCTTTGGCGAATGCTGGCTGACGGCTTAGGGTGGGGTTGCTACAAGGGATATCTTTCCGGATACCGGAAGGGGTACGATAACGGATATTCTAGGAGGCACTGCAAGGGCTGCTATAAGGGGGGTATCACAGGGTTATTATGCCGGGCGGAATGATGGGTGTTACTAGAAGACGTGCCGCAAGGGTTACTTCATGATTGCTATGCGGGGTACTGTAAACCTTCGACCCCATCCATTAAACTTAGGAGAGGGGTCTTAAGAATCTGAGTAGCGTCTTGGGGAAAGTTATGGGGAGTTCATTTTGAGGAACCCAGGAGTAGTATTGGTATTTATTCAGGCCCCCACAATGCAGTCTGGTCTTTAGTGTTGCGGGCATTACTTAGTATAAACAAGTCTCGTGCGATGCCATTGAAAGAACACGGGGCACCCTGGAAAACCGAGATATGTACAGCACTAGCCACTGTTGACGCATCGGACCTACCCTGCAATGATCACCGTAAACACATGCACCGTTTATGCAAACGTGTGCAGAAACGAACGTATGTAAAGCTCGTTGCAGATGGCAACCATGTATGAAACTTGACAGCAGCAGCCCCTAAACCCATAACCTACGCCATAAATCCTTAAATGCCTTAAATAACCTAAACCATAAATGCTTACAAGCCTTAAACCCATAAATAACCTAAACCATAAACCCTTAACAGCCTGAAACCCATGGCCTAAACCAGAAATCCTTAAAAAGCCTCAAACCCAAAACCTAAACCATAAATCCTGAAAAGCCTTAAGCCCTATTAGGTCCACTATTAGCTCCACTTTTTCCGCCCGAAACCTCGACCATGAAACCCTAGGCCCCAGACTTTAAGATCCTGTAGGGTTTAGCAAGCCCATAATACCATAAAAACCCTGGGACCTATGGGTTTAGGGGTTTAGGGTTTGGGGGCTTAGGGTTTTAGGTTTAGGGGTATCGGGTTCAGGGGTTTAGGGTCAGGGGTTTAGGGTGTAGGGGTCTCGGGTTTTGGGCTCAGGGTTTAGGAACCCATGGAGCCACGAGCCCCTCTCCTCCTTCTCGGTTACGTTGAAGGTGCATCATTTAGGGCACCTAAGGTATATTGTAGGGTTTTCTATACATGCACGGACGATCATACAGGTTACCAAAGGGGGTATCATAGGGATCCTATGCCAGGTATTATAAGGATGCTACTACAAGATCTATCAGAAGCGCTAGCTTCATGAACACTATACTACCTACAGTCTCCATTGTAGTTCCTTTTATTGGTTTAACCAATATCATATTTAGAAATTAGGACTCTACAAGGTAACCCCAAAAGGAACTACTATGGAGACTATAGGTAGCTATCCTATTTTGTATTGAGGGTTTCTAATTTCTATAAGGTAATTTCCCCCAAGGTGGAGACTGTAGGTAATTATGTATGATATAAGGTAGCCCCATAAAGGAACTACCTTGGGCACTTTAGGCAAAACCGCACAGCCCTAAACCCTAAACCCTAAACCCCGAGCTCCTGCGGGTTGCTCTTCGACTCTGCCTTGGCCTCCTCGGCATCCTGAGGAAGGGTAACTGCAAGCACTTGGGTTGTTAAAAAGCCCTAAGCCTGCAGTTGCCTACTATATAAGGTACTAGAGTCCCTAAGACCCTATATAGTAGGTAACTGGGGGCTTAGGGTTTTGTTAAAAAGTTTAGGTTTTAAGGTTGGGGGCTTCGGGATTTTAGGGTTTAGGGTTTAGGGTTGAGGGCTTTAGGATTTCGAGCTTCGCCGTTTACCCTCAGTTCCACACGCGCCACTAGGCAAAGTGTGCGTTGTGCGCCGTGGACTCTAGTCCTCCTTCCCCACTCGCCCACACCCGCGTCTGAAGCTTGGAAGGTTGAGGGTTTGTCTGCACGCCATCCAAGGGAACTCCAAAAATTCAAGTTCCAAGAAACTGCCGCCAAGCATGGCTGCATCAGAAACATTCTAAGGTTATTGTTTAGGGCTTTGGGGATGAGCCCTTTCGCAGAAGGAGCTGCATGCCGACAGTGCTGGAAGCCATTGGACATGCAGGCATCTTGATTCAAATATCCAAAGGCATCATCGAAACGGGAAGCCCGCGCACGTCGGTCTTCGAGATGTCGACAGGGTGTAAACTCTAGATCTTGTACAATCCGGAACCTAAATCACCCCAAATCCTGGGCACTGAACCCAACATCCAAACGTGGCAGGGGTTGGGGTATGGAGTGGGGAACGTAGGAGACAAGTATAGCAACGAATCTGCATAATAGCAGGCACAACTAAACCTCAAACCATAACACTCCTCAACTCATAGAGCGCCCAACCCCACGCCAAGGAAGCCTAAGCCTTAAAACCCTAAAACCGAAAAAACATCGATTAAACCTTGATACTTAATCCCTAAATTCCCTCAACGCCCTCAACCTTAGACTCTGAAGCTCGAAACCCTAAGCCCCCAGTTACCTACTATATAGGGCCTTAGGGGCTCTAGTACCTTATATAGGTTAGGTTTAGGGTTTAGGGTTTAGGGTTTAGGGTCTAGTACCTTATATAGTAGGTACCTGGGGGGTTAGGGAAAAGCATCGCCTCCTCCGCCTGCTGCTCGATGCGGGCAAACTCCCTCCGCACCTTAACCAATCTGTCGGGTGCGGTGCTTTGCAGAGGCTATCGGGATAACAGCTACCACGTATGACCTCCGAACCCCCTAAACCCTAAACCCTAAACCCTAAACCCTAAACCCTGAATTCTACTACGGCTTGTCTATGAAACCTGCATTCCTCCAAGTTCCCGGGCTGACTAACTCCGCTCTCTCGTTGAAGCCTTGAGGTCCTCTACCGAAACATTAGGCTTTAGGGTTGAGGGTTTAGGCTTTAGGGCTTAGGGTTTAGGGAAATTTTGGGGGATAATTTGGAGGTTTCAGGTTCAGGGTTCAGGGCAAAGGGTTCAGGGTTCAGGGTTTAGGGTTCAGGGTTTAGGGTTCAGGGTTCGGGGTTTAGGGTTTAGGGTTCAGGGTTTAGGGTTCAGGGCAAGCTTCGGAGAACATGTGCTTTTTGGGGTGCCTCAGGCTCGAAGATTTGGGCTTCCGGTTTTCAGGTTTCGAGATCCAAAACACCAAGCCTACCTGTAGCCGGCTCTATGGGTAGTTTTCAAAATTAGGGTCCCTGTTCGGGTCCTTTTTGTAAAGGTGCCGGATTACATTGGGAACCTAAAAGGGGGCCCTAATTTAGAGAACTACCCCTGTAGAAACCCCATAAAAAGAATCCCGAAAAAGGTAGGTCTGTTCGGCTCCAGGTATACTACAATCCACAGGCCCTAAACCCCAAACCCCAAACCCTAGGCCCATCCCTCAACATGCGAAAACCCTCTATGGGTAGCTCTCTAAATTAGGGTCCCTTTGTAGATCCCCAATATACTACGGCACTCTTATAAGAGGGGCCCTTAATTCAGAGAACTACCCATATGCGAAGCCCAATGCCCTCGAAAGCCAGGCGCCAGTGGCAAGAAGGCAGCCAAAGCCTCCTCCAGTCGCCTCAGGCACTGAGCTTTGAAGTTTTTCGCTGTCGTATTTGTAGTGCTGCTCAAGCAGAAGGTGTACTGTAATCGTGGTTAATATTATGCCTAAGCATCCGACGGTCGTAAGCATATTTGCTGTGCTTTAATTATATTAAGATTGCTGTTAACTGTTTTGTTCTTATCAGCACAGTCTGGGAGGTTTGAGGCTTGAGAAGGGCTTTAAGGTGTTTGGGGGTGTCGTTGGGTCAGGGCTGGAAGATGTCTCGACAAACCTTTGGGGTTTAGGGTTTATGTTGTTGCTCGGCATGTCAGAGGAGCAATGCAGAGCACTAGAGTTTCTCCTCTTCTAATGTAGGAGCCTTACAATGATAATAAGGAACCACCAAAATAATATAGGTAATTATTCAGGCCCCTATATCACCGTCAAAACGGCATGAAGCTGTGCGAGGCAACGCAGCTTGACCATTCGCTGGGACCAAGCCCGACAAAGCTTCTTCTGCCATAGGCTAGCATCCAGCCATTGTACACAATCATGTAATTGAACACCACTTCATGACTGTTATGGTACAAAACGAAAACCGAGCAGCAGTTTCAGAAAGCAAGCAAACAATACCATGCATCAGCAGCAACCATGTAAGACTGTACCTACGGCAGCGAAGACATACTACAGAACTATCAGCAACATTTGCCCTAACGCCATGGCAACTTTTTGTGGTTAGACCAAAAGTACACACACACACACACACCATCAACATGCTGTCTTGGCAGATGCTTGGGATGACATCAGAGGTTGCGGCTAGGATGGGGGCCTAGGGCCTAGGGTTTCGGGTTTAGGGGACTCCATCTCTTGAAGCTTCGTGGTCTCACAGAGTTGAGGGTACGAAGCCTCATGAGATGGAGCAGAAATGACGACTAGGCATAATCGGAAATCCAAGCCGAACCCTCGACAGAGACAGGTCAAGCGTGAGCCCTGGATCCTGAAAGGCTGATTCTTCCTATAATACCAGAAATTATACTTGAAGTATGTATATCTATATATATATATATACTGTACCTTTCAGATAATCAGGACGATAGAGAACCCGGGTTCAGGGTTTAGGGGTTAAGGCCTAAACCCTAAACCCCTAAGTCCTAAACCCTAAACCCTACAGCATAACCACCAACGTCGGCCTCTCTTCCTGCGCAAGAACCTCGAGCTCTCGAACCATTGAGGCGACCTTAGCAAGGGCTTGGGGGGTCCTGTAATGTTCCTTAGAAGGGTTCCTTTAAAGGGCTCCTTTAAGGGTTCTTTAACGACTACTGTAAGGGTTCAATGATCATAAGTAGAATAGTTCATGCTCGTCCGATGTGCTGCCCAAGGTAGTTTTTCAGGCCCCTATGCTAGATAGTCTTGATCCTTGCTGTGTTGAAGTTATGAGGGGCATTCACGGGCACTATGACTGTTCTAGAAGGTTGTGGGGGTAGAACTATAACGTCACTATTAGGGCA